ACTGGCTAGGTACACAGTTGTTCACACGCGACAAGGTATAATAATATATTGGATCCACTAAGCTTATGATTATCAGTCAAGTGGTGTGGCATTATTATAATCAAACTGTCGAAGAACGAGAGCCAGTCATCTAGAAAAATATAGAGTTCTGAGTAGTTCACATTAAAATCAAGGAATCAGAGCAAATCCATGTAATGACATTACAGAAAAGATGATGTTTAACATCAACATGTTGGAGGTGTAGTGTTTAGCACTATGTAAAACTCATATGTCAATTAAGCTTCCTGACAGGACAGCTTGCTCACTCTTCTTGGGACATATTTTGACATTTTCATGTATTCACATGTTTATAATTTGACTGGTTTTATATGTATATCCGTGTACATCGCTTACCTTGTTCATTGCTTCCATAGTTTGTGTTTGTTCAGTTATAAATATTCAATCACGCTTTATCAGAATCAGTTGATTTCCTCGCTTTCTCTGTCCACTTTTCTTTCTACTTGTTACTCTGAATGTTTGTCTGGATGAACGAGTGCTTCAAATACATTCATCCAGTTACACATTTTAATGACCTTACTACCAGTGGTTATACAATGGATTTTTTATCAACCAGATACGAACATTCGTCTGATAAGGTATACAACATAGAAAACTCTACTCGCTGGCCACATTTATTCTTCGTTAGCAACAAATTTGCTAGTAGTATCTAAATTGAATTTCAATATTGGTGTATGTTACTAGGTATGAGATTAAAACCTGTAGGAATATATTATTGACAGAAAATGTTCCATTCATGTATTTTGAATATTACCAGCTTAAATGATTTCAGCATAGTGCGTTAAAATAATACAACGTATAATATGATCTAAATAACACACAAATAGTTTTTAGAAATAAGATATTTAGTACTATGAAATGAAGTTGATAAATAATTTTCAAGTAAAGATAACTGAAATCAAAATTCTGTGCCCAGAAATCCTGAAAAGTGGTGATGTTGGCATAAACTAAATTAACAACATTGTCAAAAACACCAATCAGTGTAATACACTGGTCATTTAGAGCCATCTTTCATCAAGCCGACTAATTCGTTCGACAAATAACGAGAAGCACAATGTTCAGATACACAAGCCATTGCACATCTGGTTTGATGGAGTTGACTAGCTTGATTACATGAGCATTGTCAGACTCAAAATAAACCATCTAAGATATAAGGTCCTGTGCCTCCAAATTTCAGCTGCTCAAATGAACAACAACGTGATAGACATTAGCATCCAATCACTCGAGGCAATCACTTACATTACACACATGTGACTAAATGGCCACAGACATAATGAGCAACCAAAGTTTATTTTCCAAATGGTTAGTTAAAAATTTATTGTGTCAACAAACCAGTATTTACAATAGTCAGAGTGAAGTCGTATTACCAAACCAACACACTGAAATTGGCTTACCGAATTTGTCACTTTCTTCGTTTGCTGTATCCCAATCGGCATCTGAAACAATCATTGGTAAAATGTACTAGATCAGTAACAATCGGAAGGCTTCTGCATTTCTTGATAGGCGTGTTAGGTAGAATTTCACTTCAGTTGATCGAGTGGTCTTAGACGTCATTTTATTCGACATGCAGTTTTACACGGAACACATTTCAACTGTGAAATTTCGTTAGTCATAACATGTTTTACAACATCCATCAACTTTCTATAGCTACATGTAGTCTACATGCGTCAGTTCAGTGATACTAACAACCAGTGAACTCACCATTTTATTCGAACTACCATTCAGTGTAATACACTGGTCATTTAGAGCCATCTTTCATGAAGTCGACTAATTCGTTCGACAAATAACGAGAAGCACAATGTTCAGATACACAAGCCATTGCACATCTGGTTTGATGGAGTTGACTAGCTTGATTACATGAGCATTACTTACTTACTTACTTAATTACGCCTGTTACTCCTCGTGAAGGATCATAGGCCGCTCACCAGCATTCTCCATCCAACCCTGTCCTGGGCAATCCTTTCAAGCTCTTTACAGTTCTTATTCATCTTTTTCATATCTGCTTCTATTTCCCAACGTAATGTTTTCCTTGGCCTTCCTCTTTTCCGCTTCCCTTCAGGATTCCAAGTTAGCGCTTGTCTCGTAATGCAGTTTGATGATTTCCTCAATGTGTGTCCTATCCATTTCCATCGTCTTTTCCTAATTTCCTCTTCAGCTGGAAGCTGGTTGGTTCTCTCCCACAAAAGGCTGTTGCTGATGGTATCCGGCCAATGGATGTTGAGTATCATGCGTAGACAGCTATTAATAAATACCTGTACCTTCTTGATGGTGGTTGTTGTAGTTCTCCAAGTTTCAGCTCCGTACAGTAGAACTGCCTTGACGTTCGTATTGAAGATTCTGACTTTGATATTGGTTGAAAGTTGTTTTGATTTCCATATGTTCTTCAGTTGAAGGAATGCCGCTCTAGCTTTGCCAATCCTCGCCTTGACGTCTGCATCTGAACCTCCTTGTTTATCGACGATGCTTCCCAGGTATGTGAAGGATTCTACGTCTTCCAGAGTTTCGCCATCAAGAGTGATTGGATTGCTGTTCTCCGTGTTGTGTTTGAGGACCTTGGTTTTCCCTTTGTGTATGTTGAGGCCTACTGATGCAGAGACTGCTGCTATGCTGGCTGTCTTTATCTGCATTTGTTCGTGTGTATGTGATAGGAGGGCTAGGTCATCTGCGAAGTCCAAGTCGTCTAATTGGTTCTGAGCTGTCCATCGTATGCCGTAGTTTCTCTCAGATTTCGAGGTCTTCATAATCCAGTCGACCACCAGAAGAAACAGGAAGGGAGAGAGTAGACAGCCTTGTCTTACTCCGGTCCTTACTTGAAATGCATCTGTCAGCTGTCCTCCATGCACTACTTTGCACTGTAGTCCGTCGTATGAGTTCCGGATAATGTTGACAATCTTCTCAGGAACTCCGTAGTGTCGAAGAAGTTTCCATAACGTCCTCCTATCTACACTGTCAAATGCCTTCTCATAATCAATGAAGTTGATGTAGAGTGACGAGTTCCACTCAATTGATTGTTCGACGATGATCCGTAGTGTCGCAATCTGGTCTGTGCACGACCGGTCCTTACGGAATCCAGCTTGTTGATCTCGAAGTTGAGCGTCTACTGCGTCTTTCATCCTGTTCAGTAACACTCTGTTGAAGACTTTACCCGGTATTGACAGTAGTGTAATGCCTCTGTAGTTTTCACACTTGCTCAGATCTCCTTTCTTTGGAATCTTGATGAGGTGTCCTTTTCTCCAGTCCATCGGCACTTGTTCCTCCTCCCAAATCTTCTTGAATAGAAGATGAAGCATGCTTGTAGTTACTTCGATGTCTGACTTCAACGCTTCAGCTGGTATATTGTCAGGCCCTGCTGCTTTCCCGCTCTTGATTTGTCTGACGGCCATTCTGATTTCTTCTGTCGTTGGTGGGTTGACATTTATAGGAAGATCTGTGTGTGCTGCTTCGATGTCCGGTGGATTCATTGGAGCCGGCCTGTTCAGGAGTTCCTCGAAGTACTCTGCTCATCTGTCCCGCTGTTGTTGAATCTCAGTGATTGGTCTTCCTTCTTTGTCTTTGACTGGTCTCTCTGGTTTACTGTATTTCCCTGCAAGCTTCTTCGTCGTATCGTAAAGCTGTCTCATATTTCCTTCTCTTGCAGCTTTTTCCGCCGTCGTTGCTAGTTCTTCCACGCATTTTCGCTTATCAGCTCTAATGCTCTTCTTCACTTGTTTGATTCTATGTACTCTGCTACATGAGCATTGTCAGACTCAAAATAAACCATCTAAGATATAAGGTCCTGTGCCTCCAAATTTCAGCTGCTCAAATGAACAACAACGTGATAGACATTAGCATCCAATCACTCGAGGCAATCACTTACATTACACACATGTGACTAAATGGCCACAGACATAATGACCAACCAAAGTTTATTTTCACGTTTTATTTTTCACGCTGTATTCTCTATTTTTTCTAACGTGTTGCTGAGTGTGACTTTCGTTTTGTGCAATTTGTACAAATACACTACATAATATATTCTCAAGCATACCTGTTCTTATGTTTTCGCTTCTATTTTAATCATTTTTAATTAATCGAAATATACATAAATGTGATATTTTTATACACGCCTCATTGCACATTTTTTTATACAGTGGATTTATAGAAATTAAAAATCTATTCATATTAATCAGCGTTGTTCATCTGTCCTTTAAACATAGTACAGATAGAAAACATGTCAGATTTGTAAAATCGTCTGTGCTGTCGTTCATCCAAGAGAATAATACTTACAGAATGTATTTATTCCTGCGTTTCTGTCATTTTATTCTACAGCCAAACCATTCACAGACAACAGCTTGTTGAAATGGTTCAAATGTCAATGCAGTTCATTCTCATAAATGTTACAAACTGATGTTTCGTTGTGAATTTCTTCAAAAATCATTCATTGAAATAATACGCATTTAACATTATTCTGATTAGTGAGTCTATTGACGATGATGGATGCGATGACTACATTTGTTCTACTGATATACTTACATAATGAAAAAAAGTCCAAATGTTTTATACAAATGTGAATGTTTTATACTACATATTTTACATTTAACGTTTAAATGTATAACTCGAAGAAAAAGCGTTTGTAGGATTTATACTTCCATCAACAACGTGAATGCTCACTAGTATTTTGAAGTCATAATCTACTGAAGAAGTGCTCTTTTTTTCGCCTGGAATGGCTATGGTGAAAATTCACTGACGTGAGTATTACCATGTCAAAACATCTCACAAACTTAAACTTACGTCTGTCAAAATGGTCTTTACGATAAGCATGAATGTCTAAAATATAAATGAAACGATATCTTCTCAGATCATCATACTGAAATTTTATGGGATTAGTTCCATCGGTAACATGATTGAAAGTCAGGGTAACTAACTTAGTTAGATTAAATGAACTCATTTATTCTTGTATATTCTAGATCAATCGTTTTCACAATGATATGTACAAATAATAAAAATACATATGTTGTAGGTCTGTTTGCGTAATATGTAAGCCTCTTTCGGCTCACCAGTGAAAATATGAGTTAATAATAATGATGGTCATAATGATAGAATAGCTGAAAATAGCATTGTGACTGTGCAAAGTAATACAAATTGTTTCTCTCCGCTACAGGAGTAAACAATGTTTGGATGTTGCTCTTTGGAAAAGTGTGAATTTAAGGTACTGCGCACGAAGCGAAACAAGTTGACTTCATGTGGTGTTTGAATGAACTAATGATTGCTTTGTACTTGTTGAATGTTTGATTTCGAATTCTAAATACAGTACATTCGTTAGTGCTTGTGTGGTACTTCTTAATTCAATTGCGTTATCCCTGGGATTCTTAGTTCATACTTTAATTCAATTACTTCTAATTATCATATTGGCGTCGCGATGGAGCCTGCGATGGAACAGTTAGATACTCATTCGGATTTTGATGCTTATGAGGATTACTTTGAAAGTTTCGAAATCTGGGCTATGACCAAGGAAGATGATGAGAATATTAATATTGTGGCACATTTTCTCACATTCATTGGAAAAGAAGCATATAGCTTAATAAAAATTTTGGCTTTACCGGAAAAGCCCATTTCTCTTCCTTATACAACTCTCAAGGAACTACTTCTAGACTATGCTAAGTATACAAATTTCGAATGCGGTAAAGGGAGATTTCGTAAAATAATTCATGAGGATATAAAAAATTCTACTACATTACGTCGCCCCATCCCAGTGTATACTCAAGATTATGCAGATAATTCATTTGGGAATTGCGATGCAGTTGACGAGGATGGGCACAAGTTTGGTCAATGTTTGTGCTGTGGCAGGTTCCACCCTTTTAATTCATGTAAATTTCGTAATTGTAAGTGCTTTAAATGTGTTGATGTTGGACATATTCAGTCAGTTTGTAATACTACTGTTCATGTTGCTGCAACTAATATTAAGTCTTTTGATTCTGATTCTATTAATCTGAATATTTATAATGATCATTTATCTTTATCGACGATTTCAAAAGACAGTTTAGAGTCATATAGCAGTTCAGAGTTAAATGAAACTCAAGATTCGTGCGACACAACAATTTCTAATGAATCAACCTATCAGATTTCCCATGTTATTGTACCAGATATGGTTTTTCCTAATGATTCACATATTTCTGGTGAAATTTCTTGCAAGTCTGGTGAAAATATTTCGAATGAATCTAATGATGATAAAAAAAACTGATGTAATTTTGATTGATGCTGATTTTTCTAACGATCCTTTACTCTGCAATGACATTCTTAATAAATTTGAGGAAACTATTTCAGAAGAATCAAATCTTGGTGTCATATCAAATATTATTTGTCCTCATGATGCATTTGTTTCTTGTGAGAAACTCGTTCGATGCGAAGCACGAGTATTAAATGAGTTAGAGTTTGATTACAATTCAGATAATTCCATATCAACTGTTGTTTGTCCTTATGATAAATTCACTTCCAATGTTTACTCTAGTCAAATTGAGGAAGATGTTTTAAATGAAGCCATATTATTCATAACTATGGGATATGAAGATCCGACATTATTTCGTGAGAGTGGATAGTCTATGGTTCATATTCTAGGTAGTAGTTTCAGTATTCAACAGGCATGGTGATCGTTCACAATCCCAGAAATCAGATGAGTCTGTTCCGATTTCAGTTGTTAAATCTAATACTAATGAGTGCATTCTAGGTAATACAGAGTCTTTATCCAATACATTGTCGGACAGACACAGCATGAACTTGAGGAGAAGACGTACAATTGATTACAGACACTTAGACGCTAATTTAAGCTGTGGCGGATGTGGTGTTTGAATGAACTAATGACTCCTTTGTACTTGTTGAATGTTTGATTTCGAATTCTAAATACAGTACATTCGTTAGTGCTTGTGTAGTACTTCTTGATTCAATTGCGTTATCCCTGGGATTCTTAGTTCATACTATAATTCAATTACTTCTAATTATAATACTTCATCCTAAAACTTTTCTAACATCGTGTCTTAAAAATTAAGGATTAACCTGTCATTAAACGAATGGAAGGGGATTTAGTCAAAAACAATTCATTCTCGACGATGATATTTGGGTCACATATAGTCATATTTGTTGTGAAGTTTCGAACAAGCAAGTGTTTAATATAACAGGTGGACATTATGCCACTTTGTAAACATTTCAAGAGTATGTTAAACGCACTAGAGTATCCAAAGTTTTTTATTGATTTCAAATGTAATAAAAAGTCATTATTCCTGCAAAACATGCAGAAGACTCATGAAATATAGAGTTGATTGAATTGTAAGCTAGTTAATGATGATAATTTTCGATAAATTTAGGCCGGCCAAGCCGAAACGTAACATCAGTGCTCGAAGTCACTAACTTACAATCTTCCCTTAAACCGCGAGATTACAATCGGCTTATACTCTTCTTTCCAAGAGTTCACTCTTCCTTCCTGAATTATATATAGCTGACTGACTGACGATAAATTTAAATAAATACTAAGAACTTGACAAGCATGAGATTACACATACATTTTCAATCAATGAATTACTATCTGCAGGAGCCTTTCGGTCAACATAAATTATTTTCAATACATGTAACATACCAACTATTATTTTATAACTGATATTTCATAAATGTTCGTTTACATTTCTGGAGTATGGCATACGTTTCATTTGAGTTGTGAACTACTCTCCGTAAATATTTTAATCACAAATGTAGTTGTATCTCTGTCAGGAATTAGTTCAGTCACTTTTTAACAACCCACTTAATAGACAGGGCATTGTACATACAGTTTATATGTGCATCTTATTCACTCCTGTATTCTCAAATGTTAGACGTTAGCATTAGTGTTATGATATTTCGATACACCATTTGTTAATACAACTGCATGTGACATTGACTTCCGAATCAACTATCCTAAACAAAAAGATGAGACATTTCAACCAAAACAATTTGGAAGATATTCCGAAACGTTGAGTTTTATTAAAACCCGATAAGTTATACACATTATCCTTATGTCTCCTTTGTGTCTGAACAGTATCATATCTCTTATAAGCTGGCCACATATACCAACACATAACTTTTTGTTAGATGATTGAAAGTAGATGTTAGAGTATTTTAATTCACCTACGTTTTCCATTGCTTAGCACTGGTTGGACCGACGTTAATTTAGTCTATGGAGAACTACTGACCAATAGTGAATTGAACCCGCATTACACTACATCAATCGTTAACAACTTACTTGTAATTAACAACAAATATTTAACCGTCAAATCGCGTACATTAAAAAGCAACACTTACCAGTGATAGTGACAGTAACCACAATGGCTAAAAGCAAACGTAAAAGATTCGCATTCATTTTACTTGGTCTGTATCGTTCTGTAACATTAAAATTCTGTGTGTATATATACATTTTACACTCACTTAATCAGAAAAAGATTCGTTGAATACTTTTGAATGTGTGTATATGGTGTGTGCGTATGTGTCTCCGTTCCAATAAGAATGCATCCAGGTGTAAATAAAGTTAATTTTTAATTGATTGCAGAAAATATTTCTTCTATCGCATCGAAACCTATGGTTCGTTTACAATGGCATGCCAAATATAATTTTTACAACCGACGTCTTTTGGATGAAACTTGTACTAAGAAAGGTCTTGTCGTCACATTACACATGATTTCAGTTACTACTAGTAATAATGAAATAAAAGTAGATCATCCAGTTTCTTTGCCTTGATTAGCACTACTAGAGTATCAGTTTTGGATAAATCTTTGTTATTCATTCATGTCCAATACATTTAGGCGATGAACATGTTGAATAATTTGAATGAGTTAATTATTATCACAGGCTGATATCAACCGACTGACGAATGAAGAAATTAAAACAGTTGAAAACTTTTATTTTCAAATAGAGTGAAGCTTATATGTGACAGGTTTATTCTGACGAAAAACAAAGCAATCAAAATTCTCGTTTAGCCATCTTGCCGATAGACAACGCTCAATATTCATCACTTCATCGCTGGTGAGTGTCGGTTTACACTAATATTTCAGTTTAGCTTATTTAAATGTAAAATAATCATTGTAAACGAATGTGTTTCTGTAAGATATTAATGTTGGTCTTAGTTTTATACTGATAAAGTAATACCTTTTAGAGGACGACATGAAAAGCTTTCCACAAATAAAATCCTTATACCCATGAATGAATATAACATCGGTTAAGATATCTTTCATGTTACAATAAATATAGTCTATTCATCCACACTTTGTAACAATCATTAAAATAACAAACGTCAATCGCATTAATAGCTGAATTTCATAGTCTAAAACAAAGACTGACCACAGCTAGACAACGATCGAAACGACTAAATTACCTGACTAATTTTTATCCTACTGGGAATATACTCAAAGTTGCGGACATATGAGCCGACAACAAACGGCGATTTTGAAATCTAAGATGAGAGGATAATAATTCAAATATACATTACTGAGTCGAATATTCAAGTTCTGGAATGTGAACAACCGCTAAGAACTATTAAATTGATGATGATTTGATGCAAGTAAAGTCATTGAACATTCAAAATTATATTGCTTCGTGATGCATTTTGACGATTTCCGTAATTTGAGATCTATCCATTTCAAACGTCTTTTCCTCATTTCTACCTCAGCTGAAAACTGGTTTGTTCTCTGCAATAGTAGGCTGTTGCTGATGGCATCCGACCAACGGACATTTAGTAACTTACGTAGACACTTGTCTATAAATACTTCTACCTCTTTCATGACGGCTGTAATATATCATACAACCAAGCACCTACATTTCCTTCTAAACATTGTTACATGTCACACACGATTGAATCGAAAATCAGTTTCACTACAATCAATCATGGCACCGCTATTTATCAAATAAGTAATAAGGAGTTGTGACAGGTGAATAAGACAAAATCCTTATGATGCACTTATTTCCACTCACAGAATCAAACACAATGAAAGTATTGTCAATCGAAGATTGGAATATTCACACGTTTACTCCTCCTGCTTGTGAAAGTAGAGTGAATTTTGATCAAACATCGGGTTTTTAATAGCAGCAGTATCCCACCAAAGAAATCACTCGATTGGTTACAATGTATTGGGAAATGCTTATTTTCACTATTTCTTTTCCATGATTAATGTCACAGTGATATATTTTATGTTCTTCATGAACGATTAGAGCGATGATTTGATTTAAGAGGTTTGTACCTGCCTTAAATGTTTAATGAGAGATAAATGAGTCGAGTATTTTGTATTGTACTACCACTCCAAATGTGTATAATCCAGTTGTTTAGCATGAACTGTACATTACATAGCAAGTAACCTGATCCATTAATTGATCGACAAGTATCTACATCTAATGGGTGTCTGTACTTCCATCTCGCAATGTGAAATATTGTTTCAGCAGTAATCGGATTATTCACTGAAATCGATCACTGTGTAAGATTTGTTGTAAGAACCCATGGAAGACTTCCATTCTTCTTTCATCTATGTATCTGTATACGAGGGTAGTCATAAAATCACGTTTTCTACCGTAAATAAGTTTAAACCAGGATTAATTAAACAGTTCAAGAATATGTTATGCTATTAAAACACTGTAAGTCAAAGTGAAAAACAAAACAATATGTAGTGTACTTTATGTGATGTGAGTTCACAATAATTAGAAATACTGTTTCACATTCCTGTGTAAATAAACAAGAAATATGAGGCGACTGATGATCACTTTTAAAATTAACCTGAATATTAGAATGAATTGAAGAAAGTGAATATGAGCTAACTGTGGCATACACTTTCACGTAGTCAGTAGATGAATAATAAATAGATATAGAGTGTATGGTGACGTATATTCCGTGATTTTTTGTAACCACATTTTTATTCAATATCCGTTGTTTTTCTGTATCACTTATGTTAAAAAAGATGATAATTGTTTTGATAAGATTTGAACACACTTTTTACTACCGCGCGGATTAAAAATATAATACATTATCCACGTCGTCTGCCCTTCTGCTTTATTGGCCACGGCCTTTGATCGAAGACTATAGTAGTATTATAATATCCTTATAGGCCTCCTTGCACTACGTTGGCATTTTGGCCCGGATCACTATTACATAATACTATTGACCTCTGGGTAGGACTCTAATTTATGGACGAGCCAATCAGAGGCGTTTGAGGAAGTTCAAGGTCACGGCGCTAAGTTCGATTCTAGATGCTCACATTCGACCGTTTTACAGCAGATTTCAGAGAAGAGGTGATTGTTGAGCGACTATAACAGATAGGACTATTAAGAAGTTCCTGTGTCTGTAACTGCGGCAACCAAATGACTGCAGCACGATGTGCGGACTACCGTGATGATATTGTATTTCGTTTTACTATATGTTGGAGAAAAAAATCTGCTCGAACTGGCACTTTCTTTGCGCGATCACAAGTACATGAATCGTTTGGAGGAGTTGGAATGATAGTGGAAATAGATGAGACAGTAATTAGAATGCGAAAATACAACAAAGGACGTTTTATCAAGGAAGACTGGGTAAGTAACACTTCAGTGAATATACGTCATTTTGTCGATCCAATGACGGGGGTTCATACAAACAATATTGAAGGCATGTGGTCTAGGCTGAAGTATTTTTAAGACCCTACCACGGTTCCAGAGGACGATTAATATGGAGCCATATGGACGAGTTCCTATACAGCATGCATTATGATTTCAGAACTTCTGAACCTTTATCAAACCTTAACAAGTTCCTAAATCATGTGAAAGAAGAATATCCATAGTAATTCATCCGTTTTTCATAATATATCTTTACTCTGTACCAACTCTCTTCTGATTGGCTAATGTTCTCAAGGTCACTTAAACGTACGTTCAAAGGTCGTCCATAAAATAGAGTTTCACCGGCCTCTGTCTTGCTAGTTTCGACGTTGGTGCCATCAGTCGCGGAAGAACTTACGTTAAATCGAGTGGACTTATTTGTGGTTGTCATCCCAGGGAGCAGCATTAGCCAGGACTGCATTTCAACAGAGTTAAACGCTCTAAACTTGATGAATGTGCCTCCATTTAGTCGATTAAATCCACGTATTTGGTTTGCACAAGTGGAAGTACAGTTTCAGCGGCGTAACATACGTTCACAAACATCAAAGTACTCTTTTGTGCTTGGAATACTGCCGACGGAAGTAGCATCTGAGGTATCGGATCTCATAGATAATGTCCCTGCAGCTAATGCATATGACCAGTTAAAGCAGGCCATCATCCAACGTACCTCATTATCGGACGAAAAGAGGCTACAACAATTCCTACACGAGTGTGAGTTAGGTGACAAGTCACCCTCCCAATTATTACGCCAGATGAGGCAGTTAGCTGGACCTTATAAAGTTGATGATGTTTTTCTGAAGGAAATTTGGCTACAACGTTTACCAACGGTAGTTAAGCAAATTCTTTGTGCTTCTAGCCAACCTTTAGATTTAGAAAATCTAGCTAGCATGGCCGACAAAATTTTAGAGGTTACACCTTGTACTACACCGTATGTGCAGACACTATCAGAGACTTCGAATGACAGGCAAACTCCTACAATAGCGTCGTTAACAGCCGAATTAGGCGAACTACGAGCACATCACGAACGAACCATTACCAGTCTCGAAAATAAACTAGATGGATTACAACTATTACTTTCCAATCTCACATCTAAAAGGTCTCGCTCCAGTTCCCGAGGGAGTAAGAATCGAGACACCTCAAAAGGAAAGAAATATGATGATCACATATGTTGGTACCATAGAAAATACGGTGACAAAGCTAGGAAATGCGTCACGTCTTGTAAATTTTTCAAGTCATTTTCCTCACCTAAAGGTGTCAACCAAACCATGGTAACAACAAATATTTCGAGTGATCCTCATACTCGCCTTTTCCATGTCCTTGATAAAACTTCAGGATATAAATTCTTAGTAGACACTGGAGCAGAAGTCAGCGTTATTCCAGTTACCTTAGCCAACAAACCTGTTCCTAAGGGTGGAAAATATACCCTAAGGGCGGCTAACAGGACTGAAATAAAGACATTCGGCGAACAATTTCTAACATTAGACTTGGGAATTAAACGTCATTTAACCTGGGTATTTATTATTGCTGACGTCCGCCACCCCATATTAAGTGCAGATTTTTTAAGCTTCTACAACTTATTAGTTGACGTAAAAAGAAGAAAACTTATTGATTCCTGCACTAAACTTCAAGTCCTGGGAATTCAGTCAGACTACCACATACATAGTATTAAAATTGACACTCCAGGAAACGACATATTCACCACTATTTTATCTAAATTTCCCAAAATAACGAAACCGGACTACAGTAAAAACACGGTCCAACATTCTGTAGTACACCGGATAATCACAAAAGGCCAACCAACATCGGCACGTCCACGCCGATTACCACCGAACAAACTGAATGTTGCAAAGGCTGAATTTGACCACATGATGCAACTAGGTATAATACGTCCTTCAAGTAGCCCATGGGCATCCCCACTCCATATGGTGCCCAAGCGGGATCAGGATTGGCGACCCTGTGGTGATTATAGGTCATTGAACAACCTAACGTTACCGGACCATTACCCAATCCCTCATTTACATGATTTTTCGCTCACTTTACACGGCAAACATTTTTTTTCTAAAATCGACCTTGTACGAGCGTACCATCAAATCCCAGTAGCACACGAGGACATAGCAAAAACAGCC